GGTATGATATGGATCTCCAGGAAGGTGTTGGCAGTTTTGGAATATCAGTAACGTTATCCCACATCAACCTTCCAGGAAATGACACCGAACCACCACCAAAGCTTTTGTTATGTGTTACCCAGAAATATGACTCTCAATGGTGAATTCTTGTAACTTTATCTAAATGGATTAGTCCCAACAAGAGAAATATTATGTGTTAGCGGTGACTACTGACTGAGGTGGCAGGAAAAGCAACTCAATTTTTTAAAAAAATAATTTAAGTGAGGCTTTATTTCATTGAAAGTATTTGTCTATAGATTTAAAATACCTTTTCAAAAAATGAAATTTTCTAAAGGAATACCCGTTCTTCCATACTTGGGTTTTTACAATGAGGAGCAACAACAACACCCTTGCCATGGAGCATACCTTTGGTGTCACCTCTTTGAATGAAGACAGCTATTGCCCCTCTAAATGTAAATGAAGGCTCATGTAAATTTATCATACAGAGGAAGCAGACCAATAAAGCTAGTTAAGCCGGATGTGTAGCGGAAAAGAGTTGTACCATGGAGAAGAGATCAACAAAAAATAAATGAGAAATACTCCTAGGAGGCATTAGGGGTTAGGATGATGGTGGACAGGGAGAATTGTTGGATATTAGGATTATAGAAATTCTTATGGGCACTCAAATATTTATTCTACTTTCTTTTGTATATCAAGTAAAAACAAACATTTTCACTTCTTATGAAAAATCTTTTGTTTCTGTGTTGAATTGGAACAAACCCATAACTAACCCTCCAGCAGATTTTCAGAGGCAGTAAACCACATAAAAGGAGATTGTCCATCTTTCTCTCGTGGACTAGTTGGTGGATTTGAACCACATGTTTTTGGGCTGGCAGTGCAGCGATTTACCACTAGGCTAGCAGAGTCCCCTTTTGTTTCTACACAATGGTAATCTTCACACCATTAAAATTTTTGCATATGATCTTAATGAGAAGACTAGTCAACCTTTTAAATTTGAATATTTTCAATGTCCTACGCTCTAGTATTTATTATTTGCTTAAATGCTTTTGCTGCATACCTTACGTTTCAGAGAATTCTACCTTATTCCGCCCCCCCCAATGCTCTCCATCCTGCCCCTCTCAAGGTTGTAAATTTTTTTATGTATATTTTTAAATTTTGTTTCACATGTACATTTTTTTCACTCCCTCTCTCCACTCTTCTACGCCATGATCTTCCCCACCTGTCCTCTCCCCTTCCCTTTTTGTATATCCATACATAATATCCACACACATCTCCCTGGGTAGCAGCAGTCAGGGGATAAGGAGATGCATTGTACTGAGAAAATCTGCAGTTAGAGACCTCTCCACATCATTGAGGAGTGAGATGTTATTTTGAGGACTAAAGTGCATCTGATTCAGGCCATAGTCTTTCCAATTACTAACTATGTATCTGAGACCTGGACAATGAATAAAGACGACAGAAAAATAATTGACACGTTTGAGCTGTGGTGTTGGAAAAGAGCACTGAAAACCCCATGGATGGCCAAGAGAATGAACAGATATGTGTTGGAGATGGTGCAGCTGGAGGCAAGAATGATGAGGCTTTGCCTCACATACTTCGGGCATGTTTCTAGGAGGGGCTATTCCTTGGAGAAGGACATGATGTTGGGAAGAATGGAGGGTTGGCAAAAGAGATGACAACCCTTAACTGGGTGGATTGACACTGCAATGGGTTCTTGTGTGTCAGGAAGTGTGAGGATGGCACCAGATAAAACAGGGTTCAGATCTTTTGTTCATAGTGTGACTATGAGTTGTACTCGACTCTATAGCACTTAACAATAGCAACAACTATGATACACATCTCACTTATTATCCTTCTGTTTTTACAATAAGGGTCTTATACAGTATTTCTTCTTATGTGCTTGAATTAGTTCACTCAGTATAATGCTCTTTAATCTCTCCCATGTTATACAATATTTTTCAAAATTGTTGACCCTGAGTGCTGCATAGTATTCCATCCTGTGAATGTAACATAGTTTTTCAAGCTATCTTGTTTTTATGGAACATATGGCTTTTCGATTTCTTTCACATTTAAGCATTTCACCTTTAGCATATAAGTAGTGGGCACAGTATCATGGCAGGAAGAAGAAAACAAACAAACATACTCATTGTAGAGTTAGAACCAACAAATAGTTAACCTTATATTGGGATTCTGAAGCTATAAATTGCAGTGAGGGGCGTCTTCCCATCTTTTTCCCTCCTCGTTTGCAGAGCAGTTACATTAAAACCGCCAGAGAGGTGTGTCCTTTCAGTTAGTAATGCAGCTCCCTGTAGACTACTCCACCAGAACTCATTGTGGGAAGAATAACTTCCTGCAATTTCCAGTCTGGTTGCTAGCTTGTTGCTGTGGGAGGAAGGCACTCAGTGGAGCCAGCCTGAGTCACAAAACAGAATCTCTCCTTGACCTTGCAACCTCAAGCAATCCCTCAGCATGACACTCAAAGTCCTACACAGCTCACACAGAGCTGTGGTTTAGGTGGACGAGGGTGGGGCAATGAGGAGACCACAGAGAAGAGCAGAACTCTGCAATCTCACCTAAATCAGGCAACGCACCTGAAGAACTTGAGCCTTAATCAGAATTCCTCTTCCACCTGCACTGAAATTGTGAGGTTTGTTGCTACAAAAATATTCTAATGAATGTGTGCTTCTAGCCTGCATGCATTCTTATGGAACAATCTGGACAATCTGCTGCTACTGAAGCACTTCCGTTCTCACTGGTAAATTGAGACTTTTACAATGTGGAAAATTAACTGCATGGTGTTATTAAGATTTTAAAGGCAACAGAAGAGGAGAAAAATAGGGCTTTTTCTATTTCCAACCTCTTCCTCTCCTTCCCTCAAAAACACTGTCATTCTGAGAAAATGAAAGTCTCTGGCTTATTTGTGCTTACTTGTCTTTTATTGACTATGCAGAGAGACATTTACTTATGTGGATCATAACAAATAATAGATAACATTTAGAAGCATGGGGAATCTATAACACTTAATTATGCTCATGAGGAACTTGGACATAACCCAAGAAGCAAAAGCTCAAATAGAGGGGGGATAAAAGCATGGTTTAAAATCAGGAAAGGTGTGCATCAGAGTTGTACTTTTCTCCATATCTATTTAATTTGTATACAGAGCAAATAATCTGAGGAACTTGGAAAAAAATGTTGCATCAGGATTGGAGAAATATTTATCAACCCTCAGCAATATGCAGATGGCACCACCTTAGGTAGGTTGTAAGGTTATAACCTTAGGGAGGATGTAAGGTTGTTATAGGGTGCAAGTGGTGGGGTGAGTCCTAAATCCTATATGTATGCCTCTTGTCAGTCCCATAAAGTTAACTATTTCATGGGGTTGAGAGCATTTTATGTAGGTACAGGTTATTTATTACACTAAACATTAAAATAAGACTAATAGTATACATAAATACAGAGAGAATTCTTAACTATGTTGCTTTGAGAAGTATTTAATAACATAAAATATTTATATTTAAGTACCAAATTAAACTCAAAATAGTAAGACTACGTTATAGCTAATCATCATGTATAGCTTGTATTTACATATACCATGTCTATATCCACATCTATAAGAGTATTTTTTTTTTAGTTCTATCACTCAACCTATCTCTTCTCTCTGCCATCGCCTCTATCACCGTCCTCCCCTTCACCTTTGCTTTCCTAACCACTATAATTTTAAGAATATTAATAATCAACACTCTGGGTGCTTTGTAACATCTATTTTCCACACACATATATTTTGTAATTTTCTATAGGATTATATATATAGATACGGTTGGCTGTATGACACCTATATGACTTCTTGTCATAACATAGTCAGAAATCAGAAGCCTCAGATATTCCTTAGCTAAAAAAAAATTTAAAAAAATTACAATTAAAAAGTCATTCTGCCTTGAATTATTGCTGGTTTTAGACATTTTTACTCAGTTTTCAGTTTACATAGATTAAGAGTGGAAATAAACATTAAGATTATCTAACTCATGTTATTATCTTAAGTAAAATGAAATCCTTTGAAGAGCACTTGGAGGAAAAAAAATCACCAAGATGGTGAGGCAACTAAGATTCTTAATATACTATTACTTTAAGGCTATTACATAAGCTTGTTTGAAATGCCACTATTTTATTTCAGTGGCTGCTGGGATACATCTGTGCACATGTGCTTAAGAAAGATAGCAAGAGTTGGTATCCCTATCCTAAGATACATTCATGCATCACTTAATATTGACAATATATTCTGTAAATAAGGATATTAGGGGATCTGTTTGTGTGAACATGATACTGTAGTCTCATTCTGCGTTTTCTTTAAGGATCTCCAACAAATGTCATGCCTTAACAGTGATCATATAGATGCTGAAAGAGATTTGCTCCTGTTGGTCCCCAATCTATGTCATTAATAATTTCTCTATATCTGATATACACTCTTCTTGCATTTTAATTAACCTTGTAACTTTCAGTGGAACTGATCTTTTGTTTTGGGGGATTGTTATGATTATCAAATGCAGCATGCCTGAATTGCAAGCAGTAACATTCACAGATTTTCCACCTTTGTGCTGTTAATAACCTTTTGTTTAATTCCACATCAATGCTTCTCTTTTGTCTCTTGCTTTTGCTGTCACTAGCAGAAGTTATTACCAGCTTCACTGGTTTGTTGTTGTTTGTTGTTGTTGTTACTGATTGTCTTCAAAGTAGACTCATAGCGACCCTATGAAAAAAAGGCTTGAAGCCCCTCTACAACTCTGAACATTTATCAAAGTTCATAGAGTTTCTGGAGGCTTGTTTAGAAAGTGGATGCCATTCTTGCTTAGGAGCCATGATTTCCTTCACAGTAATGGTAATATTTTTTTTTTAAGAGTTGAAGATTTTTTTACTGAACATGTTACAAAAGGAGTTTAGGCAAAAAACCCCAAATCCCATGTAATCATCAGACTCCTCAGATTCTTCTTTTTTTTTGCTTGCACTTTCTTCTCAGCTGGAGCAGCAGCAGTGGAGGGGTCAGATCCTCCAGCCAGTGCTTTCCTGGCGGCTATGGCAGGTCCACCAGCACCCATGTTGCAGGTGAGGCTCCCAGTGTTGATATTTTCCAGGGCATTAGCAAACAGACCAGGCCAGAAAGGTTCAACGTTGCCACTGGCTGCCTTAATGAGAGCATTGATTTTATCCTCCATTACGGTCACCTCATTGTTGTGCAGGATGAGGCCAAATAGATGCAGGGGAGCTCAGAGACAGAGGCCTTGGTGTAGTGGTGCTACACTAAAGTCTGCCGGGAGTGGTGCTAGTCTCTGGATAAAGTGAGAGCCTCACCCCTATGTCGTCTAGCTCCCTCAGAAGAACTGAGCATCTTAGCAACAACTGAGGAAAAGGGTAATATTTTTGCAAGAAAATGAAACATATAATACTACAACAATTGAGAGGCGGTGATACATAGAATTGGATGTTACTATCTATAAATAAAACCATGCAATGCTAAATGGTAATTTTATTTAAGATAGATAGTACAAACATTGAGTCAGTACAGGTATTTATTATGGATATATATATATATTATTGTTGTTATGTGCTTTCGAGCTGTTGAGTCACCTGCGACTCATAGTGACCCTATGTACAAGAGCCCTAAACCCTGCTCTATCCTGTGCCAACCTCGCTGTCTCTGACACACCCATTACCCCAGTCACTGACTGAATCAATCCATCTCATTGAGGGTCTTCCTTTCCTGCACTGTCCCTCCACCCTCTCAAACAAGACTTCCCTCTCCAATGACTGGTCCCTCTTGCAACATGTCCAAAGTATGTCAGATGAAGCTTCAGAATTCTTGTCTCCAAGAAGGAACCTGGTCTCACCCTCTCCAGAATGAACCTATTAATTCTCTTAGCACTCTATAGTATATATTATAGGTTATGAATATATATAAATATAGTTGTTGATGCCTTCGAGTCAAGCAGCATGACTCATAGCAGCCCTATGAACAAAACGCCTGAAGTCCCTCTACAACTATTGACATTTGTCAAAGTTCATAGAATTTCTGGAGACATGTTATTTAGGAAGTACACACACACACACACACACACACACACACACACACACTACCATTGTACATGTGGCAGTGCAATTGCTTTGTAAATGACTAACTTGAAACATACACATCTCATGCAAGAAGCTGCTGCTTTCTGATTGGAAATCTGTTAATAGTCTTACAGGACTATGAATGCAAGTGGACATGGCCCAAACAGACATTATGTGATTCATTACTACTTGTAAGATGGAAGGAAAAGTCACATAAAATTTAAAAAAGTTGTGATAAAGTATTATGCTCTTTTCAAAACAGCTCCTAATTGTTAATTCATCTTTCTCTGCTTTTACAGGGGAGCGTAGAAAACAGACTATTATAAGAAGCAACTCCTGAAGATACTTTGTTTGTTGTTGTTGAATACCATCCAGTCAGAAATGGCCCATAGCTGACCCTCCACTGGGTTTTCAGAGGCAGTTAATTGGGAGGAAGGAGATTGTCAATCCTTCTTCCATGGAGGAGCTAGTAGATTGGAACAACATGCCTTTGGGATTGCAGTGCAGTTTTGTACCTCTAAGTTACAACTTTTACTTTATGAGAACTAAAAGTCAGCATACCAAAGTAATTCTCAGCAATTGTTATTCTTTTCGGTTAGGTGTTGTTGAGTTGACCATGACTCAGTGATGAACCTTCCCTTAGCCTGTGTCATTGCTCCAAACTTCATTATGCTCAGGTCCACTGTTGTAGACAACGTGTCAGTCCTGTTCTTTGAGAGTCTTTCTCTCTTTCACTGACTCCATCTTTCTCAGAATGTCTTTTTTCAAGGATTGGTTCTCAGTGGCAACATGCTCAAAATATATGAGAGGAGGTTTCATCATCCGTGCCTCAGAGGAGCAACCTGGTTGCACTTCCTCTAAGACAGAGGGCCCCTTAGAGGCAAAGAAAGTGAAACTAAATCTCTCTTGTTCTATTTTAGATTACATTTACTAAAAAAGAAAATATAAAAAGAATTATCTTGATTATTTTATGAAGAAATAGGTGAAAAATATTCTCCTATGGACAAAATTCAGTAGTAGTTCTATCTTGTTTAAGCTACTGAATTTTCTGTCTTGGAAAAGAGAATCTGTGCAACCTATGTCCTATCCCAAAAAATCTGCAATCTATACCAGACCATGCTCTGTAAAACCACACCAGAGAAATTTGCAAAGACTTCATTGTACATACATTTGAGCCCCTGGTTCACTGCTTCCGGGGTATTTGATCCTCTTCGGTCTGGCATCCTGTCTGTATTTATACAGTGTAATAGGACATCTGCTGCCCACCAGAACTCATTGTGATCTGTAGCATTTCGCAGCTGACTGCCATCCTATTTATATTAATTGAATGCAGCGTATTCTGCATACACTGCTGATTACCCTAATTTATTTCAGTTCAGAAAAGCCCAGAATTTCTCTACGTGCCCTTGCAATATTGTTCTACTCATTTGGCTCCAATTAGCTCCAGCTAACAAAAATACATTACAGCAAACCTCTAGTTAGCCATTGCTGTTTCTAATGACATAATTTGTGAGTTTTTAGCTCTTGAAAGTAAAGGCATTGGGAATTAAGTTATAGTATCTTCTGTGGGCCTGAGAAATATTAATTGCAGGCATCTGGGCTCATTTCCTTAAAGAAGATTTGCGATTTCTCTTTCACTAATAAATGTTGACATAATCGGACAGCTATCAGCTCCATATGCTGAACTTTCTGGAAAATTTCTCATCATGCCCTTGTTCACCTGAGTAATAAAATGCATTAGCACTAACACTATATCTTGATTTATTTACACTCAGTATTTTATAGTTATACTGAATAATGAAAACACTCTTCTAAGAGAGTACCTTCAAAATTTAGCAAAATACAAAATGTATCCTAAAATAATAAAAGTATGTTATTAGTTTAGTGAATAATATACCTATTCTTAACTTTTGCTTCTCATGGAGTATTTTCCATTCTAGTATTCTATTTTGGTTCCAGAGCATGAGATCAGACTTCAATAACTTATATTTTTAAGGTAATTTTCTTGGTAATGGCATTTTTGAATAATGATTATTTCAAAGAATCTCTTTAGATGTAATCTAGGTAACTGGATACAAAGAACAAAGAAATAATTACAAAATAATAATAGAGACTATGGCAAATTAAATCATCTCATTTCTTTTTAATAAAAATGTTATAACCAAGAAGTCAAGCAATTTTCTAGTCATTAAGACTAGGTATTTGCATATTACACAACTATCCTTCATGGTACAAGGTATGAATTTTTCTGTTTTGATAGATAATCAATTATCATCTATGAGTCTGAAGAAATTTCATTACTAATGTATAACCCCAAGCAAAAAGTCTTTCTACTAACCACTCCTTGAATGTTTTAGTTGTTTTTTTTTTCTTAAATGGTATTCTTGTTGTGTTTTATGTTTTTCTCCTCCTTCCATCCCAAACTTTAGAAGACAAGGGCAATCATAGTCAAATACCGTAAAAACTGCTCCCATGGTTTTTATGTAAAGTTAATAAAATAAATAAGAGGCAGCTGTGCATTTCAGGAAATCACTCCATTGGGGGGTTCTGGGAATACTATAACCACAAGTGTAAAGCTGGAGCCACCAAACACCCTCATTGGAATTGCAGCTCAATAAATCAAAGCTTTCTCCTTTTTATCTTTACAATATAATGCTACATTTTATATAGTGCCTGTGCTTTACAACATTCCCACTTATATCTTTTTAATTATCATAGAACTTCTTGCTTCCTGTTCAAACAAGTTAGAATATTTTTTGAGAACTTTTGCTGTATGCATGGATGTTGTTAGTTTCAAAAATTTTCAACTGAGGGACTATGACCCAGCAATAAATCCCTCTCACTTGCAATCACCAAATAAGAAAGAAAGAAAAAGTTAATATGAAGAAGTGAGACAGTTTGATAATATTTCATGGGAATATATATGAAATACAATCATGCCAGATTGTAATATCATACATGTTAATAGTTCTATGAACTGGCAGGTGGGCCACCTAGAAGTTTCTACAGACTATTGGTTTTGCAGTTGACTGATAGACTGAAAGTTATTATTTCAAACAATCACTTCAATATGGTTGTGATTAATTTATTTATGTATTCCTTAATGATGAACCTGACAAATTATTTTTCTCCTTTGAATTTCTTGTTCTCCTTCACACTCACTACCTTAATTTTCTTCCTTATTTCTTTCTTTCTTGTGATTTGAGCAAGTTTATAGAACAAATTGGTTTTTCATTTTACCACTCATGTAATTTTATAACATTAATTGCAATTACCACTTTGAAATTGAACTGCACTCTCTCTGCAAAGAACTGGAGTTAGAAAACCAAAAGGAAAAAATATACCAAGTATTTCAAGCTGAAAGAACTGAAAAACAAATTTAAGTCTTGAGTGGTCATCCAAAAATATTCTATCAAAAAATAGTGAATGATGCAGGAAGCATCAAAAGAAGCTGGAAAGAACACACAGTGCCACTTTACTAATAAATGAATTGGCCAATAGAAGATAATTTTAGGAAATAGCATATAATCAGAAACCAATGGTAATAAAGAAATTCAAGTTTCACTGAAGGTACTGGCAAAAAAATGACGCCCCAGTAATTAATAGCATACCACGTGAGGTGTTTAAACAAACATTTTTGACTATTTAGATCATAACAAATTATGGATAATGTTGAGAAGCTTGAAAACTTCAGAACACTTAACTGTGCTCAAGAAGACTTACTTATACATGAACACCAGAACAGTTGTTCAAAGAGAACATGGTTTAAGATCAGGAAAGGTGTGTGCCAGGAATCCTTTCTTCAGACTTGTGCAATTTGCACTCTGACAAATAATTTGAAAATCTGAACTATATAAAAAAGAATGTGGCATCAAGTTTGGAGAAGACCATAACAACATCTTGTGTTATGAAGATGATACAACTTTGCTTGCTGAAAGTGAAAAGGACTTGAAACACTCTGGGGTGTTAAGGGTTCACTGTTCAAAATGGTTTTCTTAGCCATTGAGTCTGATTCTATAATACGGATGGGCAGGAATGTACGAATAAGATATGTTAGCTTATTCCCAACGGGATTGGCAAAATTTTGCCAATCCACAAGTGGGCT